GCCGGTGCCTGCTGCTGTGCGGCCTGCTGTGCATGCTACTGCCTATGACTGCGCCGCAGTGCGCTGCCAGATGGTGTGACCACAACATAAACTCTGTTGCCCATGAGTTGGCAAAGAAAGGGCTAGTGGAGTCGGGTTTATTTGTTAGGAATTGCCCTCATAGCCTCCTTGGATTATAGAGCTGGCTAAGGACTCCACTAGACCTACTAAAAGCAAATGAAATACAAACACAACCACTTTCTGTTAAAAATGCCAGAAGTTAAGGCCTCTATCCCTTTCAATTAGGGGTGCAACTTGGGCAAGCCCAACCCTAGCCTGAATCGGCTCAGCCCAAAGTTTTGTACAAGCTGGGCTTGGGTTCAAGAATTTGGCTTTTTTTATTTATTTATTTTTTTTTGTGGGTTGGATGCAAGCTTAGCCCTTAGGTAGTTCAAACTTAGGTCGAGCCTAACCTGACTATGTACATTCATGCATGCATATATAAATATGTATTTACATATATACATACATATATGTCTATATACTTGCATATATATTTATAATTATAGAATGGGTTCATTAACAAACCTGAACCTGCCCCAGGCCCAATCCCAACCAAAATACATCAAATTACAATGTGAGTTGAACTCAGATTGAGAAAATTAAACTTAACCTTGAGCTCGGTCCTGACTCGGGCTTTAAGCCCAAATCTTAGGGTTGGGCCTGGGTTGACTTTATACCCGGTGCACCCTTACTCTCAATATCCGTCTTCTTAATGAGTTTTAAGTATGAATGATTTGATTTACATGTGACCATCCATTTGGTCTTATCAAACACTGAGTGGCTCACCTAGATAGATCAATTATGGCTCAATAAGTATCCATAACTGAAGTAGCAAGGGATGGCGGATCTGGATCCTGGTTTTTGGACTCGTAAGAATTCAATTACATAAATCTTGAAATTTAGAGGAAATTTTGTAAACCCAATTTTTAAGTTTAAACAATGTTTTAAATAATATTTTGTCCATTTCCACAAACCCTAGTTCCGATTATTTCTCTTTTCAAAAAAGTTCCAATCATTTCATGGGCCCAGATCTGACAGACCGGCCCAGATCTGACAGACCGGAACCCAGTAATACCTTTTCTCAAAAGAAAAATAACAGTAATACCAGGAACCAATGCATAGGCCAGAATCTGAATGGGTATGGATTCGGATCTTTCCCGACCCGCATACAGCCTTACTGAGTACTGGCAAACGCATGAATCGGTGACCATCAAGCAACCGTTCGATCTACAACTTCCCTCTGGCCAAATGGCTAATGGTCTGGAAACTGCAATCAAAGACATTATTAAAAGTCCGACAATCAGAGGGTTAGGATTTCAAACCGGTATGACGGCATTGCATCAACGGCTATCATCGTACCAATCCTAATTTAACCAACTCGCTGTTGCTCTGAGACAGAGCCAGGGGCCCAGAGCTTCTTGCTCTTGTGCAAAAACCAAGCATTGATCGATCCTCATGGCGGCTCGGTTGTTGCAGAGGCGGCTGTCTTCCATCTTTCGCAACAAACAACCTCACGTCGCCCTCCTAAACGGTAATTGGCATTCCCCTTCTCTCTCTCTCATACATACATACAGAAATTTCCATTTTGATTGAAACCCTAACGGAATCAAAATAAAAACGGAGAAGGCTCCATCCAACTGATAAGTAGAAGCCTTTATTGTCATGTGTGCTTTATCGAATACCTAGAGTTCAGTTATTGTTAAAACACTGGATTCGGCATATGTATTATAATCTCTTATTCTCAGTGTTTCCTTGTTTTCGTGTCGTCTCCGAGGGCGTATGTTGGAGTGTGAGCTTCAGCCAAAGCATTGCAGCATTCTTAGAGCTCTAATTAAATCTCATAAGCTACCGAACTTTGCTTCGATTTTGTGTCCTTGGTTTCCCTTATTTCCTTTGCTAAAATGAACGCAGAGAAACAGTCCATTGGTAAAGAGGAATTACAGAAGCGTCAGACTGGACTGCAAAAGATTATTAAGTTTATGTCTAATATGCTTAATAATATGTGCTTTGTTGGGTACGATGACCTGTTATGTAATTACGTTCTTTAGTTCTTTGTTTAGTGTACGAAATCATTTCAAGGAATTCGTTTGTTTCATTTTCCAGACATGCAATATCTTTTTACTAGTTTGGTTTTCAGTTCAACTTTTCAGAGGTTATCACTTGCTTAACCCTTCTTTCTCCTCTTGCTATGTATCAGTTCTTATTATTAAGTATTAACTTTGTAACCTTGCAGTACTTTGGATTGACCCATTTTATTTTGATCAATGAAAAAAGTTAGAAAACTATAGACCTTAAAGAGATTATGAGAACAAATGTATAGAGACTAGAGAGGAATATTAACAATTTTGTGTTTTATACTTTTGTCAGCTTCCACATAGTTCCAACTTCTCATGTAATTGGTCCCTTTTATATCAAATTATCAATTAAGAATTTTATTTCAAATTCTACTTTCTTTGTTTTCTTTATGTCTTCTGTTATTTTGCATTTCATATTTTATCATTACTTCATTTGGTCATATGGACTCCAATTTATGAATTATTAATTCTGTTTTCATGTCTGGTTTATTTTTTATAATGTGATATTGGCTTGTAAATTATCTTCTTAAGTGTTTTTGAAATCATCGATCCATTTTTATTTACCCATTGTATCATTAGAATTCAACCATTTATCCCTTCTATAATTTATGCAAGTAATATGCACAATAAATATCTCATGCTCCATTAGAAACCCTGCATGACTTAAAAGTGTTGAAGTAATGTATTGAAGCAACTCAAGGGAATCTGTATATAAAATTTCTTATATTGTTGCCTATAGGTGAAATCATACTAATGACTGCTGCCAACTTGAAACTGTAAGAATCTTCTTGTTTTCTCAAAAAAGAGTCTTCTTGTTTTTTCCTTGGGACCCTTTAGTCATTTCAAATTGGGAAATTATGGATTCAGTCAATTGAGGGAAGCTGAGGCATTGTATTAGCCTTGACCGGTGAAAAGTGTTAAGAGCCATTGTCCCTTCACAAGACTGAAGAGGAACAAAGGTTTTAACTAGGCAAGTTGAGTCAATAGAGGGGACCTGTTGTGCATTATTCTAGAGAAAGATTATTGGTAAAGTCCCTAGAGAGATAATATGGCAGATCTTGAAAAAGAAAGGAGCTCCAAATACATATATGGACCTAATTAAGGATAGGTATGAAGGTACAACAACCAATGCTAGAATACCTGTGGGAGAGACATCAGATTTTACAATTAAAATGGGTCTTCACCCTTACACTTAGTCTTATTTATTTGCACTAATCATAAATGAATTGACTAAACATATATAGGAGATCCCAAGGTGCGTGTTATTTGCTGATGATATCACTTTAATTGATGAAACTACTGAAGGATTTAAATTAAGTTTATGGACAAATACCTTAGAAACAAAAGGCTTTAAAATTATTAGGGCTAAGTTAGAATATATGATATATGAGTTTAATAATAATAGGAGTGCAAATTTATTATATAAATTTAATAAGTCGCATTATATGGTGACGATGAAAATCTGTATGTATCGTACAATGCGGTCCAATACTTGAGATATTTTGAACATTGTACGAGTGGTATTCTTTCTAGAGACTCTGCATTTAATATTTATGTTTATGTTCATTTAGTTTTGTTTGATTCAAGTTGTTTTTAACTCATTATGAACATGAGAACTCATTGATAATCAGGACATCATACTGAATGGCATATAAATGGTAAGAATCAACTGAGAGAACGTGTGCATCTCAGACCAGCGACTTACCACCAAGAATGTGTCATATGGTGAGATTTGACAGCTCTAGATGGACAAGAGAAAGGCCAGTAGCAACATGGCTTATGATGGTTAGAAATCTCTAGACGAAAATGTAATGTAGTGATGATTGGTGAAGCAAGAGTCATGTGGCTGTTTTTCTGATAAATGGGCTAAACCTTAGGACAGTTCAATTGTATTCTAGGATAGGCAGTGGCATATTAATGCCCTACTCTTTCCCCAAAGCACCTATTTAAATTAGTAATCATAGTTTCTCTGGTTCTGTATCATTGTGAGTTGCCTTTCCTTTTTTTTTGAAAAATAAGTTTCGTTTATTGATTTCATTAGTTTTGTGGGCGTGTGGCTCCAGTATGGATTTTCCACATGAGACCTTAACATAGTCACCGTATTTCTCAACAGGACCACCATGGCAGTGTCTCCCCTCAACAGAGGCTTTATTTGCTACAAATGGACAAGCTGAGGTGGCTATTGATAAAAGAAGAATCCAAACACAGGCAGAACCAAATAAGGTGGATGAAGCAGCAGAGGAACATGAACCTTATTCCCAGTCCTCCCACAGTTTGAGCCCCACAACCAGCAGTGCTGTTAATTACACAGCATTGTCTAACCTGAAAACATCCAAGCGACATGACCTTGCAATGATATTCACATGCAAAGTCTGTGAGACGAGGTCCATCAAGACAGTGTGTCGCGAATCATATGAGAAGGGTGTGGTCGTGGTACGCTGTGGAGGCTGCAATAATCTACACCTAATTGCTGATCGGCTTGGGTGGTTTGGAGAACCAGGCAGTGTTGAGGACCTCTTGGCCGCCCGTGGGGAAGAAGTGAAAAAGGGTTGTATTGATACTCTAAATCTGACACTAGAAGACTTGGCTGGAACAAAATCTACAGGTTAAAAGTTAAACATCTATTTGTAATTTTAACATTTGTGTTCTAGAGATTGGCACTAAATGCTCTCCAAGAGTATTACGATCAATTGAATGGATAAATTAGCCAAGCGACCCAGGCCTATTTTTCTTGAATGAATCAACTGTTACATTTTAGCTTATGTCCATCACAGCCAGAGGTGCCCATATAGAACTTAAGAGTTAAGACATCCATATCAAAGAAACCTTTTGGTCAGCAGGGAAGGAGCTTATTCGTTTATGACAATGTCATGATTGTTTCAGAAAAGAAACGATTAGTTGGTGCCTTGGGTCAATGCTAGATTACCAGTTAATGACGTAGGCAATTGCTATTTGCCAATTTGAGCCGAATACTTCCGTCACATCCAATTGACGGTTCTCCTTTACTGGTATAGTAGCATTTACTCGCTTCCGTTTTTTCATTGGAAAATTCATAAAACGCTCTGCTGACCTTGGCCTTATTCCTTGTGCATTCTATATGCCATGGTCGTTGCCACCATCCCAACCCAAAGACCCTGGTCCCTGCCCCCTGGCCTTGTTGACTCGATAATAAGCAGTTAAGCATCCAATAGTTGAGATGACCGCAAATTGCTAAATTCAATAGATCGGGGGAACCGAATCCTTTTGGAATTGAGGGACAATGTATGACATCTAGCAAAGCACGGTAATTAGCTAGAGTGGAAATGCATAACAGATGACACTTCATGGAATTACGGATGAACTCAACCATGGACAGACGGACCAAATCCTGTATGGGGATAGACCTGGGTCAATATTAGTGAAGACTGAATTGAATTTTTAAAAAACGCCCTTTCACATCGACCAAGCATGCCAAATCAGAAGCAAATTCAGCTTTTCCCTGCTTTGGATTAAAAACTAGGTGCCATTTATTTGTACAACATTCACCTCATTCTGATTTCTGCAACCACTATTGTCGGCAAATTAGAGAAGTGAGCACATGTTAGAAATTAGAAATCTGTACATGAAAGAGAACAGAGTGGAAGCTTTCCAGATGGAACCCCGGCGTATTTGATTTGACCCTTTCATTGTGGCCAACACGAGGGTGTTCTGACTACTTCAAGATAAAACCTTTCCTGGGTACGATCTTCCCACTGATGACTTGGTTTTACGCTCCCTAGGGTATGGATAGATGATAGCAAGTTCACTAACACGCCGCAGAACAGATGGGGGTATGGAACGATAAGCATGCTTTCGCCCATGCTCAACCTGCATAATAATCATCTGGCTTAAGCATTCACATTTAAGTAAAACTACCAACAACAGGAGTTAAATAACATGACGACGTGCTGCCAAGTACATGACTGATACAAAAAAGATTTTAACAGGACCAATTAATTTCCCATAAATGAACCTTTATTTTCCACCAACAGAACCTTTACTAGATGTATTTTGACTATGCTGCCAACTATGCTCAATCAGACAATCACATTCATCACAGGTAAAGAAGAGATACGAAATCATTAAATGCAAGTTTTAATATGTACTCGTTTTTTTCAGAACATTAAGCCGCGATGGAAAAGATCCATACACCTTGTAATCACAAACTCATAGCATTCGTGTTAGATGTACCCACAACCTAAAATTCTATTTACTGAACATCGATTTGGGGTCTCTAAGGTAGCAGGCAAACAGAAAAATATAAGAGCTAATGTCCAGTTAAATTAATTAAAATACCAGTGTAGATACACAATTTCTCAAGGGGCAGCCTATATATGGTTTTCCTCCTTCCTCTTATTCAACATAAATGAATACCAAGCTCTCAGACATAAATGAATAACAAACGTACAAAGTTCTATCCATTCACAAAATGTTCATGGGTAACAGCGACTTCAATATTAAGTCATCTAGGCTCAGTTTGGAAAGAGTACAAATACAAATATGTACAGTGCAAACACATACAAAATAACACAAAATATAAGGTTTTGCACTCTACAAATTTGTATTTGTACTCTTTCCAAACTAAGCCCTATGGATAAAAGAATGTATGAAAGAATTCACAAATCAAAGAACTCTCTTTAAATATAATTACTAATTTTGGATGTGTCCCCAGTTCAATGCCCATCAAGAATATCAGCATAAATATTCGACACCTAGTTACTATGGGTTAACAGAACTTAACTAATATTTCTTTCAAGGTAACAACGATACCAATAAATTGATTCCAAGAATTTCCTACCAATATGGGGTCTGGAGAGGGATAGATGTGGCAGCCTTACCCCTGCACATACAGAGAAGCTGTTTCCAAGATTTGAACCCCCAGGTCACAATGGAGCAACCTAACCATTGTGTCAAGGCCCACTTTCAATTTCCCACTGAAAGTAACATTCTAACTATCCAATTAACCCCGCTGACAGAGGTCCCTAAGGTGTGAATCCAAACTGAACGGATGGCCAAAGAACCCTTTTAGCTGGGGTTTGTCAATTATATCGGTCAAAATCCAGAAGAGTTTGCCATAACTGCAAACTTTAGTAGAAGTAGCAATGGTACCCACAGATGCTATACATGCAGCCCATGGTGAGTGTGATACATCAAAGGATAAACTTAAGGTTTTTCTCAGACAACATACAGCATAGACAATTTAATACTTTAGCAAATGGAACAATCACAGCCAGAAAACTATGAAATTCTGGTTGCTCCAAAAAAATGAGAAATCATAATGTGTTTCCCATACATGAAGTTGAATCCTGATTCCTGAACATACAAAAAAGATAAAGAACAAAATTTTAAGGAACTTGTAGAAACCTACCATGTGGGTAGATAACTACTCAAAAGCTGAGATGATCACTCAGCGTTCCTCCTATGGGGGCACAGGATCAAAATCACATAACTGCAGACTCTACGTGATAAGGACAGTGGACCTCACAAGAACCTTGCTCTGTCCCCAACCCTTTAATCCCCCAGTAATGGGTATGTTGAGTTGTGCCTAGAATTCTTGTCATGGCCCACTCCATATGACCTAACTCGTATTTGTGGAGAAAAACCCAAAGGAAAAATTTCAGTGGTCTGTGGTGGAGGCAGAGTGCAGTATGGACCTGTTACATTTTTAGCTTATAGGTCTGACCAGAACATGTTATGCTATGTTCTTAGGGCTTTCTCTATTATGTAATCTTTGGCGTGTATGAGAACATAGATAGCAAGTTAAAGAATGATAGCTTGGGAGTAATAGAGTTTAGGGTCTTCTGAGAAGAGAAGAGCTGAAGAGGTTGCTCAACTATCATATCCTCCAATGCTGTTTTTCTATAGTGGATTTCTGCTCCATCACCAATGGACATAGGCTATAAGCCGAACCATGTAAATCTGGGTGTGCTCTGTTTTGCTTCTATTTATATCTGTTTTACTTCATTTTCTTTGCACCATTCAAATTTGTATTTCTGGGTTTTTTCACAATAGTGTAATATGTAATACCAAAAAAATAAGGTAAGAACATAGAATTAGAAAAGCTTTAAGTATGCAATTTCCATTGCCTTCTGTTGGGGAATCCCGTATCATGAAGATAAGGGGCTGCCACTTGGGCAAAAAGAGACAAGGTATGTGTATTGGCTTAGTTTCTGGGGCAAGCCAAACAAATTGTTAGATTCTTTATAGTCAGCCTCTTGACCAAGAGAAGAAAGAGAGGTTCTGGTAATGATGAGGTTGTTTTGCTCTCCAAAGTATTGAGAGGAGATAAGTTTGAAAGAGAAGGTTTTGTAGAAGAGGAAAAAAGTATCTTCTGAGTATGTTCTTCACACTCTTCTTGTTGGATGCACAAGGATTTCATTTCTTTCAGTCATCCAAGGGTATTTTAGAGGTTTTTTCACCCATTTGGCTAGAGTTTCTACCCTATCTCTTTATTGAAAATTGTAATCCACTATTTTTTTGGTGAGGGGTTGGTATTTTAATCTAAGAGGTTTTTTGCTCTTGATGTTGTAGTCTCTAGTTGAGACTAAAATATGTTAACTTCCATTGTCCTTACATGGTAGAGATTTTGGAGAATGTCCCATGTTTTTCCCTTTAATGTAAGGGGATTTTCTATGTAAACTTGCATGACTCTAGCCATCATTGTGCTTGAATTATTTCCACAAATAGTTCTATTAAAATGACCATTCTCAATATCATTCAGAAAAAAAGGAAAACTTTCAAATTTATAATTCTTTTGACAAATTCAGGTGATGGGTTTGCTTTGCAGTAATCTATACTAGAACATGCTTTATTTTTTTTTTTTGGATCAATTACTAGAACATGCTTTATCAATCATTCATTAGGCATTTAGTACAATCTAATAACCAAACTTTTGAAATATGGAGATCATTGATGAAACTCCAGTTAATAATAAATAATCAAAGGATCCTTTAGTGAGAGGTATGTTCAACTTAATCATGTAATGGATGAGAATGCATCATTATCATGGGACCACTGAACTCCAATTGACAGAAAACATGTTTCGTAGCTCAGTAAACTTTTTTCCTTCACAATAGTTTGACGTGCATCACCTTTTTGTTTAAGATTATTTTCAAGGTAAATAAGCTAAATCTCCAACTTTTGTTTTCTAAAACCTATAAATTTATTTATTGTATTTTATAGTAATTATTTTCCTTAAAGTAGGCCATCATTTTGCACAAAACACATAAACATCAAATACAACCATTTCATACAAACATCATTTCCTCACTCTTAATCATTTTATTCTTGGGCCATCTATCTTCCAAGCCAAGCCTTCCCTATTTAGAAACCACACCTTATTGCAAACAAAAATCCTGTTATTTTATTTAAACCTCAAACCCTTCTTCCACGCATATGTTTCCTGATGAACCAAACAGCATTTTGAGAAAACATATCCAATGAATTTTCTTTTCTCACTCATCATCCTAGGGACCAAATTCTTGAATAGTCTTTAAAATCTAACTTCCAACAGAATAAAACAAACCTTGTATAGAACTTTAGCATCAAACTTCCAACAAAATCGAATTGTGATTTTGTCCTCACAACACATGCAGTCGTGCATTGGGAACGTCTTCCCATGAATGAAGGGAAAACATACAAGTGTGGAGATGTTCCCAATGGATGGCTGCAAGTGTTGTGAGGACAGTAAGGACCAACTTTGTGATTACAAATTCCGATCTCAACAAAATCACAAAGACCTTAGAAGTCTTTAGCATTTCATTTTCAAGTTCTAATTCAGGATTGAATACACGCCAATAAGCCAGATAACACATCTTTGAAAACATCAAGGAGCACAAGATGCTAAAAAAAACATGGATCCAAATCACTAAATTCCAATCAAAATAAACAGGTAGACCTGTGTGTATATTTATAGAAAAAAGACACCTCTCAATGAAAAAAAAATAGCACTTAATAGCTATCCTAGATAACTTAAATAACTAATTCCAGTGCCAGTCAACCCTGCTTGCATTAAGCTCAGCACAAATTGTAGGTTGTAGGCCTCAGTAAAGGAGGGGGTTTGTGAAGGATAGTATCCAAAACAAAAATTTTTTATAAGCCCCCATGATCATGAATTAGGAATAGAATATAAAGGAGGATTTATATAGCTGATGTATAATTTGGTAAGGCATTCTTTAAGTATGCTAGAAGTCCGGATCTGCCTACGTACAAGACACTACATACTCACATCAGGAACATCTCAGTTGCCATTCATGGGAAGATGCTACCAATGCACGCCTGTAGTGTCTGGTGGGTATGTGTGGGTAGTGTCCTTGTGGTAGCAGATACAAGCTCATATGTTAGTCAACTTAGAAATGGAAACTTATGTTCACCATGTACTCAAATTCCTAGACCACCAACTGCATGTAACAAACATAAGATTATTTTCATTATTTCATGTTGTCTTATACATTTCCTTAACTCAATAATATAATGGTTTAAAAATTACGTAACAGTAAAGCCATCATGTTTAAGTAGTACTTACACACATATCACAACCTTCATCACCCAAAACCAAGGTTCAAACTTCAAAGTCAACCAATACTGAAAATACTCAGTATTTTTTGAACCTTGCTCAAAACCACCACAACGTCTCTTCTGAAGAAAGAGAATAAACCAAAAGAAAACCAACCAGAATACTAACCTCTCTCTTACTCTGCATCTGAGCACAGCTAGCCCGTAAAAGGTTTCGCCATTTGTCCTGTATAGTGCTCAAGTCATGAACACTTAATGAAGGAAATATAAATAAATAAATATATAGGACCCGTTTGTTTGCAGGATTAGAGGTCTGGAATCGGAATTGGAATGGGTCAATCTGATTCCTACTGTTTGGTTGGGAGGAATAGGAATCCCATTCCCATTCCTGGTGGAATGGCATTCCCCCATTTGAGGGAATGGTCATTCCCTCCCCCTTCCTTGGGAACGAAATCCCATTCCAGCTTACTCCAATTCCTGTCTGAACCAAACAGAATACGGGAACAGACAATTCCGAGGGATTTTGATTCCGATTCCAATTGTGAACCAAACGGACCCATAGTATTTAAACTACCTTGAGATCAACAGATGTGCGATAAGCAGATGAAGAGAACAAGAGCCTCTTTATTTCTGTCCATCTTCCAACTCCATACTGGGAAACTCCATCAATCAATTTCATCACCTCAGAAAGAGTCCATAGCCTATGATGTTTTCTCCGAACCCCAGCTTTTCCACTTCTATTTGTAGTGACATTATCATCTGACATATCATCTTGTGATTCAGAGGGAGAAGTTTCAATGTAAGAATTCCTGTTAGGAACTGAGGGCAGCCTGTCCTGCATCTCATTCTCAGATTCACATCCCTGAGAAATGTATTGATGATTAAAGATTTCTAAGTGGAACAACTGAAAAATCAATTTGACACAATATACATAAAAAAGTGATTATGGAAAAGGTGCATCTATAAGCAAAAAAGTATTAACAGTTAAACTTTCGGCAACATATAGATCTTTCTACTGATCAAATATTTAAGATTTTTTAGGATACTTGATTTACTGTTTGATAAGATTAAGCACTCAACTGCTTTGAAGTGCTGCATGGAACCTTTTCGAGGATGAAGTTTCAGACTTTTAGTGTCAGATACACATCAGATTCCAAAACCCAATGGATTTAAAGGACACCTTCATGTAACGTTTCCCTTTCTTTCCTTGCTTATATGACATAATTGAGCAGCTAATGTACATAATGAACGACACTTTTTTTATAAAATATTATTAACTAACAACAATTAACTTTAAACCTTTTAACTATAGGTAATATAATGTTAAAAAATGGCTATTTTAATAGTTATTTAGACATGTCTAAGACCTGTTGTCTTTTCATCTTGTTAAGTCAGATTCCAAGACACCTTGAAATCTGAATATCATATCCATATCCATGCAGTACTATTTGCTTGGCCCACCCACCAGTCCACCACCAATATTGTGAAAACTCCTATTTGGACTCATCAACCAACCAAACCCCATCCCAGCCTCAACCCAAAAGCTTAGCTCTGATTGTTGCTCACTGCAGAATCCTGGACCTTGGAAGGGCCAAAACATGAAATAAGAGACGGTGCTCTCAGACTCCTTGTCCTTAGATAACTTGTAGCTGTATTATAGAATATCCACTTCAGATTGGTTGAACCAGATTTATTGATACTATAAAATTTTGAGGATGAGATGCTGTTAGAAATGAGATGAACAAGGACCAAAAAATAGACCAATGTGCGTAAGGGAAATGGTGCAAAGCCAGATTAAACAACAAAATCAACACAGCTCAGCCTTAATCCCAATTATTTGAGGTCAGCAGGTCAAACAACAAATTCCAGAGAAAAATGGAGAATACCGGCCCAATATCAGAGACAAATATTTTCAGCACTAATGATGAAAATGTTTTTTTTTTTTGATAAATAATGATGCAAATGTTTGCTCTGCCTCCAAAGGCAGATCAACAAGTGCAAATAGAGACCAACATTTTTTTGTCCTAACGGATGAAATGAGATTAGAACATTGAGATGGTTGCAGTGGCAAAAGCTTAAAACAATCAGCACCAAGAAGCAAGAGGATGTCAAAGATGACGACAGATCCAAATCCGAATCACAGGACTACCCACCATAGGACCATTGAATGCAAAAAGGACAAACCTAATTTCATATAAGCCCTCTGTTAAGAAATAATAAAAAATAAAACTGTTCATGTTTTTTTTTCATTTTGTTATTTGAAGATTCTATGACAGTCTGAGACAAGGTTCATGATGCTATTGCCCTATACTGAAAGAATATGGACTTCCACCACTCATTCCTGCTTGAATCAGGGAAGAGAAAGGATGTGCATACTTGGTCTCACTTATTTAGATAGAAAGAAAAGGGTGTATGTGTATGCATTCCCCCTTGGCGGGGTTCCACCAGGATTCTAGAGCCATAGCTCTTCCATTTCCAGCACTCACCCAATTACTGGACTTGGAAGATTGAAGATATCAGTTTCAAAGGGTAAGGGGGTAAAAATTGAGCTCTACTAGTGAACATCTCTCCCAGACTTGTTTCAGCTTCATTTTACCATAATTGTTTGCTTTCCAACACCAGAGGCTTTTCCCCTGGTCTTTTTTTTCCTCTTGGGACAAGCCTACATTTTTTTACTCGCTACTTTTTTTTATTAATAAAATCATTTTGATTATGTTATTGATCCAAAAAGAATTCAGTTCACCATCTCCAATTGCCATGCTAATATATCAAAACCCTAGTCCCCTAACAATTATGCTTGGATCCAAAAGATTGAATCTAATCAATAAGAGGACTCAACACCCACTGCTTAATGACTGAGGATGCATTATGTTCACGGAGTAAGCATTCAACAAATGCACAAGCGTACACAATTTGAAATTTATTAAAGGTAAATGGTTAAATTTATCATTAACCTGTTTTTATGCCTTTTTAATTTAACTATCAGTTACCATGACCCTGATAATGATGCATATAATAGGGTGCAGCATATGTGAATATATCTGCCAATTCAGACCTCACATGTTGACATCTCTAACAAGTAACTCAGGCAAGAGACCCTCTCAGCATCAAAAGGCTGCTTGATTGGACTGATTGAATTATAAATAAACAGCATTTCCAGAAGCAATGCATGGAAGTTCCCTAAACTATTGCTACAAGAATGTAAAAAGGTTCACCAGCCATTTGAAAACAGTTGAATTGGCTGAACTGAACAACTAGTTACTTTGTCTTTTGGTGAATAAGTTGTTCAGGAGGTTACACACTCCTTAACGGCTGAAACTGAAGTTGGGTTGATTGTTATACCCTCAATTATTGTATTTTAATTATATTATCCACATAAAGCCAAAGCAACAAGTCATTCAGTTCACCCATTTCAGCTGTTACCAAATGGACCCTTATTACATCAGATTGACCAAAATGCTAAAGGACCAACCTAGTAGCATCTTCAATCTTCATAACAACAAGATGTAAGGTAGAGGAGATCTCCAACAAGCAAATAACATGAAAATTTTCCTTACCAAAAATGTATTCTTCTTTGGTCGTCCCTTCCGCACCCGAAGACCAAATGGAACTTGAATACCTGTTCCCCCAAGATAATCCTGCCTACATACCAATGACATTGTTCCAAATCGTTTCTGGTTATTCTGGTTATGGGATTTAGCTCGCAAAATCTTATCCCTAGAACCTGTAGGAGCTTCTAATCTTCCATTAGAATACCTTGGTTCAAGGTCTGATGATTCTTCAATGTACCTCCGAGTAGGCTTGCGTAATCTCTTTGGGGTTACAAGCAGACCTCTATCACCCAAACCCAATCCCACTTTTCCAGCCTCAGGAGTAACAGTCATCAAATCATTCTCAGTAGCCAGATTTTTCCTTTCCACATCTTGGCGTAGGGGTTTAGCCATGTTTCCCAGCATACTCGTGCAAAGACTTGGCATTTTTCCACACGAATCATTACTAGATGTTACAATCATGTCAACTTCATTCTCATTGGAAGATGTTCCACTTTCCAGTAGGCTTGATACATTCTCAAATTCAACAAGATTCTCTAAACCAAATGAGATACGGCGCTTAAGCCACTGCTTGTCCTTTACAGATGTTTCCCGTCCAAATGTAGTCCTAAAAGCTTCCTGAAGTTCACGAATTGTCATCCTGTCAAGTAATGATTCATTTTGATCAGATGTCGATTCTTGGACTGGTAATGTCACTGTTGAAGACTCTGATATCTGACTACCCCTCTTCTTCTCACTCAAGCATGAGGGTTGACTTTCCAGCCCCAAGTTTACAACATTAGCTCCTTTGCATGAACCATAGTCCAGATCAGGAATTTCGTCATCATATTCAGTATCTGTACAAAGTAAAAAAGGAAAAATATTTATGACGATAAAATAACAATGTAGATCATAGAATAAGCAGATCCTAACAGAAATTGAACTATAATCAATTTTCAATCCATATGTATATGATCACAACAACACTTACCCAAAAGGAAATCATCACACGGGGTAGAGAGGCTATTTGGTATATGAAGATCTCCCTCTTCAATGCCATGCAACATTCCATCAAGAAACTACAAATACATCAACCTTATCAAGACAACATCAATATATAGTGAAATATGACCTCAGATAAGTGTTTTCTCCCAAATTAAAAGTAGGGCCTGAAACAGGAGCTGATCAACCAAAGGACAAAGATGTAATAGAGCGATGCATTCGAACAACAAGACTAAGAGGATGGGTGTGCATGCATGTAATGTTTCCATGTGTAACAAGTAAAGTTCCAAAAACAAAATTGCAACTTCCAAGTCTGAAGAACATTTATAAATAAAAATAAAATAAACACTAAGTGCATCCAAATGACATCCAATATTTGATTTGGAATACAAAAATGCATGACAGCACCTTAACATGCATTAACATTTTCTTAATCATTAAAATAAAAAGAAAGAAAGAAAATACAAGAATAGGTGATAAGACATCACCGAAAACAGACAAACACCCTAACCATCCTCCTCAATAGCAACAACCCCAACATAATCAAATCCATAACTCCCAATTGAATATAACAAACAAAAAGGTTACATTCTGCACTTCTAATTTCTAAACTCTTTTTTTACAGTCTGCACTTTAAAGCTCTTCAAAAGGAAACACTGACATTACTAAAATTCTTGAACTTATGGCCCTATCCTAGAGGCTACATATCTTCAAATTTTCATCACTTCTAACTTTTTCTTGAAAATATAATTCACTCGTTGACCATCTAGCCTACTCAGCATCAAACTACTCTTTTCTCAATCTCTCCCTTTGTTCTAACTTCAAAAATGTTTTTCTTGCATCCCCCCCCTAAATTTAAATATAAGACCCCAGCGCCTTTCCCATCCGGATTTCTCAATCACCCTGTTTAAATATACTTTCTTGTCATACATTAACATTTTAATGAAAGGCAACAAACCAACCAAGCAATGGTGTACATAGTTGAACTCAAACATCAAACAAAGGCTAGTGCCCTCATTATAGATGAACACAAGAACATTCACCTCACAGAAAAAAACTCCACCCTTAGGAATTCATTTGTGCAAGTAGCAATGTTCATCCTTGAAAAGAAAACTCCGTTCCTAGCAAATGTTTAATGAGGTTACTCTAACACTTTCAACAAGAATAATAGTTCAAAGAGGATACATTCAAAAGGAAATTGAACTCCAAAATACCATCTAATTGGTAAGTGTGCAACAATTTAAAAATACCATCTACAGACTATAAAGGACATAATTGGGGGGAGGGGGTCTAAACAAGCAAAGCACTAGTCATGACCAAAAAGTGAAGATGAGGGAGCAGAAAGGTTTTAACTATGATATTGTTCCACTGCTTGAAACCCCAATTTGCAGGGTTATGGACCTTATGGTAAAGACACGGTGGTTCCAGTAATGGTAACCCCAAGCATTACATTGAACATCTATTTTCTACAACACCATAAAGACACTACAAATCAACCCATAGTTTCAGCATGTACCAAGTATTACATATTTTTTATCAGTATTTAAATATTACATATTTTCTTAGAAGCAATTACCAATTAGCTAATGGTAACAGCATGAATCCACTTTCTTTTCAATATCAACAAAATTATGTTGATCATGTTATTGATAGAAAAACAAATGACCAACCATGGAAAGTCATGAGACTGCAATGTATAAAACCAGGATATAAATGCATGTTTTGTTAACCTTGGGGGGTAAGCACAACAGCAATAGATGAATAACAAGACAAAAGGTCAAGTGCAGATGTTTTAGTCACATACATCAACAACCAGTGGACGCCCTAGTACAATGGGAAAAAAAAATTGGTGCAGGTTTAGACAACAAAGACAGAATCAGAAGGGCAATGATTGTAATAAAGAAAACTCTTCTAGACTTAACAGAAACAGAAGATATGTTCCTAGGCAGGTGAAATGGCAAAATATGAACCATGCAACAGACTTTAAGCAATTGATATGACTCTTAGTTGAGTTGACTTTAGTTTGTGACTTTGTGTTAATATAGCATCCTCAGACTTTCTTTTTGAACTTTTAAAAATTTAATTTATGAATTCTTAAATTTTATGGGTTAGAAATTTGGTAAGCTAAATATAACTCAATTGTGACCTTTGTTGATGAGATGATACCCGTAAAATTAGAGCAAGATTGGCAAATTGGACAGGTGCATCAGGAGTTTTATGTGATAGGCGAGTACCACTTAGATTAAAAGGAAAAATCTATAAAATAGTTGTAAGGCCAGCGGTGCTGTATGGCAGAGAGTTAGAGCAATCAAGAAAAAAAAAAAAAAAAAACATATCCAAAATATCTATCAAAAAAACATATCCAAAAAAACTGAGTGGCAGAAATGTGTATGCTGAGACGGATGATTGCAAAAACTAGAGGGGATAGGATAAAAAATGAAGTCATTCAAAGGAACCTAGGAGTAGTTACAATAGGTGATAAAATGAGAGTATGAGACAGTGTAGACTAAGATGGTTCGCCCATGTGCATAGAAGACCATCAACAACATCTGTAAGAAGTGATTTGTTGCAAGTTAAATGGGCTAGAAGGGCTAGGAATAGGTTTAAAAGGACATGGGTAGTAGTACAAAATGATTTTAGCACCAATAATTTAACAATGGATATGGCATTAAATAGGAAAGAATGGCAAAATAGAATTAATGTAGTCGACCCCATATAGTTGGAATAAGGCTTGGAGGAGGATGAGAAATTTTGGTAAAAGAAAATCCTTTTGCATGTATAGATAAAATTCACAGCACCGAGTGGCAGGGCTAGTGTTTGTGTATTCATGTGTTACTATGGTTTGTAGTCCCAAGAAGTGCTAATGTAGCTGCAACAGTTTAGCAAAATAAGGAACTTCTTTCTCTGATTTAGTTTGGAGCTGTCCAGAACTAGGGTCTATGTTGTAACTACTCTGATAAAATATCCAATACTTGAACCGGTCACAATGGTCACACTCGTGGTCAACATTTTTTTCTTGATGAGGAATGAAACTTAGTACTGTTTTTTTTTGATAAATGAGTATAAGTTTTATTAAACCAACAGATAAAAGTTATAGGCAACCCAAGGAAAGGCACAAGATGCAACCTTTCCTTTAAGATTGATTGTTGATCACAGAATTACAAATTCAAATGAACATAAGTTACACGGTAGCCCAAAATAAAGAATCCCAATTAGCAAGTGAGTCAGCCATCGAGTTTGCTGATCTGCCTACCCATTAACTGTCATATTCTTTGTTAGCCACTTATCTTTTTTAAGAAGATCTCTATAGCCCCAGATCACAAAATCCAGATTCAGCAACCATCCCACAACCACATGAGAGTCCCCTTCAATAAGCAAATTCTCTATCTCTAGCTGGTTTGTAAGCTGGATTCCTTGTACAGTAGCAAGCAGTTCAGCCCTTATAAAGTCTCCCAGACCCACAGGACCTGAATATAAAGAGATGATACTACTATCTTTATTTCTCAAAAACTCCTATGCCCGAAGGTCCAGGGTTACCTCGGCCACTCCCATCAAAGTTCAGCTTAATAAACCCCTCCCCAAGTGGCATCCATTCTACCACAAATCTGTTCTTCCTGGTGGAAGTATTAACCACTACTAACCAACTGCTCCATAGGTCATCAAAGGAATAGGTATCGAAAAGGTTTAATATTTTCATCCACTGACTTGCCCTTGTCAAAACACAATCTTTAACTTCTGAAAAGCTTCTTTCCTTTTCAGAAAAAAATTCTGGTGTTCCTTTCTTCCCAAACAATCCACAAGATAGTTGCTCTAATGCACTTCCACATAATTTTCCCCCTCTTTGCGTGCCATCCAATAGTAGACAAACTAAACAACAAACTAATAGGTTCACCTACACTCAAACAACACAAAAATCCAAATCCATAAAGTTGCAACAAAGGAACAAGAGTCAGTAAGTGGTAACAATCCTCATTCGGTGCTTTACAAGGAACACACCAATTTGGTCTCTTCCTTTGCAGGTTTTTGAAAGCATTAATCTTACCATAGTAGACTTCCCAACCAAAAAAAAAAAAACAATCTTTGGGGGAATGGATCTAGTCCAGATTTTTTAACTGGGAAACCCCAGATAAAAGTAGAGCAATTGCTTTGTAATCACTTCATGTGCAATTGCTTTGTTTTTCCCACCTTTAGCCTTCTAACCCATAGGATCAGGTAAAGCAACATGGTTGATCATTAGCTTCAATCAAGCTTCAGCCAATCCTATAACAGCAATTAGGTTGGCACACAAACAGTGCAGTTGCAAACTTTTCTTACCTCAAATTGACTTCCCAAAGACAGAAATTTGACAAATTCAACTTTTCAACTTAAAAGTGACTGATGAATTACCAATAGTGCCAGAATAATAGATCTAACAATATTTTAGCTCATAATATAAAAAAGTAATATGATAAGCGTACTTCAAACTTTGACTCATCTCTCTGCTCCTCGGAAGCATATTTGTCCAGCATACCTGAAAATTAATCACATAAAAATACCGTACCTAAATTAATGAAGCAATTAAAAAACAAATACCAATGTCATTATACACAAAAGAAAAACCTAAATATCATAAGCAAGACAAATAGTGGAGAAGTAGACACCACAGTTGCTGAGGCACTATGGCAAAAGCTAGGTAACAAATGACAAGATGTCTTTGCCTACTTGATCACCACTTAGACAATCATTTTCTTACTTAAACACTAGTTAACCATACTTTTTACCAAAGTTTTATATGACAAAATCTGTTTTAATAGTTGAAGTGGCAACTAGGATAACCCTAATTCTGCCAGAGAGAGATCATGCTATGAGAGAGAGGCAGAGATTCCATGTTTGAATGAGCTGCAGGAAAAAAGACAAAAAATGAAGAGGCACTATTCTGGTTCAATTAGAAAGACAAGAGAATTAAAACAGGAAAAGAAACAGAGATCATGCTCTGTATTTCAGTATTCACCAAAACTGGAAGAGAAGGAAAAGGCCTTTCCATGGCAAAGCCTACTCGCTGCTGTGGTTTGCCCTACAAACATTTTATGGCTCTCTGAATGAAAACTGTTAACTAATGATTCTCTTTTAATCACTTGTGGCAAGGACATGGCCATACAAGCTGCTTGATATAGAATATACACTAAAAATTTGAAGTATCCATAACAATACTGTGCAAGTATCAGGATACCATAGGTGAATTACACCTAAATTTGTGGCAAGCTCACGAGGAAAAAACTACAACAAGGTACAAGGCACCCCCCCCCACCAAAAAAGAGTCCTTATTGTCAAAATGCATTGACAACTATGGTAGCCATTAATTCATCTTGGCAACATAGTTCAAGAAATGTAATTAATACCAACCAAGCCTCATTTCATAATGAGTGAAAAATTCTAGAGTGTTAAGAGAACCTAGTATGAAGTTTCTTGAACATAAAGCAAAGCACCCATTAATAATGCAACATCTGCACCATCCATCTGACAATTGTGGCAGTATTATGACAAAATTCATTGGAATATCCCTCTTTACTGATTTATCCCCAAACAAAATGATTAGCAACTCTCTAAAGGTTCTATAACATTGCAATACAAGAGGGGAAACATAGACAGAAAACAAAAATCCTCTACTTTCAAATGGGTCCAAAAATCAGCAAATAACTTGGGTTATGCAATGGCCAAAACAAAGGGTGAATAGCTAACACAAAGGGGTGCTCAACACATTGATGTATTTAATTCGTTCTTCGCATCACAACCAATAAAAACTTGACCATTAACAATAAAAAAAAAACAGTATAAAGGATATACATAGTGAAAATAGCTAAAAATATGCAAAAGAAAAATGTGGATTATAGCACAAACCAAGTGAGAATAAAAAATGGGGTTCTGTGAAAAGGGAACATCACAAATATGGAAAATCTTCAATTGATAAGACTACTACCAGTATCAGTTTTCATATGACCAAAATCAGCAGCACATGGAAAATCATCAATTGCTAAGCACTCCACTGGACTCCCTGAGTTGAAGCATAAGATGCCATCCACTAAAATTTTATCATTTCTTGGCTCTGCTAATAAATGCTCAACCTCCAGCTCCTCTTCTGTGGCAGCAAAATAGGATCCATCTCCTTCCACCTAGAACGTCAGAAGCACAATGAAAAAGTCGTTCAAAAGGAAAGAAAATAAAGAGTATATTAATAACAAGCAGAAAAATTGAAAGCTAAAGCAACATCAAAGGTGTAAACATAGTACAGGAGCATCTTCATTAATCTCCAAAAGAGAACAGGTAATATATACAAAACAGGTTATGCCAAGCACCCCATAGTTTGGTTTTGTCAGTGCAGTTCATACTAGAGAAAGGATAGCAGATTTGGGGTGTGTCTAATAAGTCAACCACACCAAGAAAGGGCTCTTTATATTAATGAAATGTATAAGGACACTTCTGTTTTTATAGTACAATAAGTATGTACAGAGTAAAATAATAGAAAATGAATGGTACAATAAGAAAGTAAAATTACAATTCAACCCTCAAACTGATGTAGAGGCACTACCATCAGTTTGCCAATGAGAAAGGAATGCCGAGCCCTAGTCATAGCCTTTGTAAAAATATATGCCAATTGAAGAGTATAAGAGACATGAGGCAATGAAATGTTGCCAGCAATAAGGAGATTTATTATGAAGTGACAATCCACTTCAATGTGCTTCATCCTTTCATGGAAGACAAGATTAGAAGCAGTCTTGATGGCACTTAGATTGTCAGCCGGTAGAAGAACAAGAGAAGACTGAGCAATATTAAGATCATGTAGGAGCAACTGGAGCCAAATAGTCTCACTACAGCGCCTTTTGCACCCAGGCACAAAAAAGGCGCAAGGGCCAATTTGCACCCGAGGCATGCACCTTTTTGAAGCAAGGCATAAAATACAAAAAAAAGGTAAAAAAATAATAAAAAAAAAGAGGTCAGAAAATTCAAAAAAGATGCCAAAAAATCAAAAAAATATATTATAACATAATATTAATAAAAAATATAAAACTTACATTTTAAAACTAAAACTAAAATGCATAAACATAACATGTAAAGCATATTCAAATGAAAATTTAAAAATAAAATCAAACATATAAAACATTTTCAAGTATGTAAAACCCACAATCTGTTTTTTTCCTCAATTGCATTACTTAAAGTAGCTAATGTGATGTAAAGTATATGACATTCCTGATTCTACGAGCTGCCTTTTGTGCCACACCCCTCGAGGCAAGCCCAAACAAGCCCATGTTAGGGTCATAAATTCTTAATTTCCATACAAAAATAATGATTTTATAATTTTAAGTGCCTTTTAAGAAGATATTTTATTAAGATGAACGAATGAACAACATTAGAAAATAGGGGGTTCACCGACCTAGCTGCTAGGTCCAAAAAAAAGCAAAAAGGCATAAAATTTTCAAAAGGTGCACGCCTGAGCTAAGGCGCAAGGTGCATCAGCGCCTTTTAAAAGTGATGTGCCTAGGACCTAGGTGAGGCACCTACTCTAAAATGTGCCTCGCTTGTGCGCTTAGGCATGCCTCGAGAACGCCTTTGAAATCACTATAAGAGAGTCACCAAGAAATATGCACCACCCAATGGTAGATATCCTAGTATACGAACAACCAACCTAATTGACATCAACATAAGAAGATAACTCAAGTGATGAGGTGGAGGAGAAGAACACACCATAGGAAACAATCCCCCTGACATATTTGATAGTACGGTGTATAGTTGTCATGTGAGGTTGATGCGGGTTAGAGACAAATTGACTTACAATCTAGACTGCATATGAGATGTTTGGGTGTGTCATTGTGAGGTAGATAAGACTGCCCACAAGCTGACGATACAAGGTGGCATCTTCTAAGAGAGGACCATCATCCTTACTCAACTTCAAATTGACTTCCAATAGGGTATCAACTATCTTCGTGTCCATGAGGTGAGCAAGGTTGACTAGGTTTGTGGCATATTTCTACTCACCAAGGAAGTAGCCACTGGAATTGTGATAAACTTCCAACCCAAGAATTATGTAATTGGTCCTAGACCTTTCATCTTAAAGGATTGGCTGAGAAGATTCTTGAGCTAATGTATACCATCCTAATCATCTCCAGTTATAAGAATGACATCAACATAAAAGCAACAATGTGATACCCTGAGAACGCTGAGATGTAAAGAGAGAATAATCTAAAGAACTAGATTATGCTCATCACAATTCTCAAATTCTAGAGCAAATAGACATCCTAGTCTATGCCCCCTTCCCCTTCACCTCCCCAATGCACTTGTCCCATATCAAACAACCACCAGGTGAGAAGGTGATTGTATGACCATGTTCAACAACTATTAAATTGATGGTAAGTCTAGGAATAAATAAGGTTTGTGGTAAATTGAAGGGGGAAAAGCAAGAGGTAGATAAGGTGAGATCATTACAACCTACAATATCAAGTTTCTCACCATTAGCTATAACAATGTGATTGTTAGAAGGGAGAGAATAAGATGACAGACCACATGTATCTCCCATCATGTGATTGGAAGCACCAGAATCTATGATCCATAGATGACTAAGAGAAGAACAATAGTAGGTACACTTACCAGACAAGCCGAAAGCAAAGAATGCAAAGGAAATTGCCAAGGACATCAGCTGCCAAATTTTCTCTTCAGTCATAACATTTGTAGTATCATTCTTGATCTAAGATGTGGAAGATGAAGCATCATCTAATCCCTCAACCAAAGTCTAGTAAACCTTGTGATGATTCTTTCTCCCACCAAATTGATTTCCTTTAGGTGGTCTTGTGGGGCATTTAATGATAATGTGCCCAAATTTCTTGCAGTAAGTATACGTATTCTTCTTCCTACAATGGGATATCACATGTCCAAACTCTTTGCATTCGTAACACTGCACCTTGGATAAGTCCTTTGGTTTGAACTTATAAGTAATTCACCCAAAATAGTATCAAGAGATGGTACGTGTCTCTACATAGAATCCTTGATCTTATTACCCCATACTTAGGTCGAAGATGCATCAAAAAATGCATTACTTTCCTTTTGTCAAAATGTTCATTCAGAGTCTTGATTCAACAAGATGAGGACATTTCACCCATGTGAATAAGCTCATATTCTGTCAAAGATTTGACGAACCCTACATAGTATTCCTGAATTTTTCCTATCACCCTAGCTGTAGGAAAATATCTAAGTTTCAATCTGATATTGTCGTGAGATGTTAGACTATTGATAAACCTTCTTCTAGGTATTCATACATCTCCTTGGCTGTCCAAAGAGTCGGAGACCCCTCATAGGGATAGTACATCTATAGTGACTGAGCTCAAGATCCAAGATGCAATCTGGGCATTGTTATTCTTCCAAGTCTGCAGACCTACATCAGTTACTTCAGGCATAGTGGTGGTTCCATCGATATAGCCCCACAACCCCCCTTTCCCTCAACATAAAACTGAAAATGGAACTGCCTTAGTTGGTTCCATCAAACTCAATAGGAAGAACATCACCTCTTTTAGATGCCATAATAAGAAATAGGAGGAAGAAAACAGTCCTCCCTAACAGGCTGAAAACCAGCAAAAATCTGTTCACAGTCCAAAAAAGGAAGGTTCACAAATGAACCAAACAAAGGGAGGGATCAAAACCCTAGCAAATCAATTCCAATCTTCACCAAATTTTTAGGACTCAAGGAACAGCCTAAGGCGACACCAGATCTAGATTTTTAGAGCAAATAAATCGACCACTTGAAAGAAAACCCCAAACTACTAACCTGAGTGGCATACCAGCCCAGGAAATCCAGATTTCTTGTCTTGATCAGAACAGTCAGAAAGAAGCATATGCCAGTTCGAAAAAGGTAGAGAGATAGACCCAAACTGATGCTGAATATAGGAGAATAAAGTCTGAAATTAAAAACCATGAGAATTAAACCTGCTCTGATACCATGTCAGTGCAGTTCGTACTAGACAAAGGACAGTAGATTTAGGGTGTGTCTAATAAGTTGACCACACCAAGAAAGGGATATTTATAGTAATGAAATGTAAAAGGACACTTATGTCCTTATAGTACAACAAGTATGTACAGAGTAAAATAATAAAAAATGAATGGTACAACAAGAAAGCAAAATTACAATCCAGCCCTCACTATCCCTGTCTCTAAAGATTTAAGCTAGCCTAGCTACCTAACCCATCTTCTTTGACTACATGCATCATTCAGCTTCCCTGTGAATGACATGACCCCTCGATACACAAATCCCTGGTAACATTGTCTCTTGCTAATGTGTATGCCATACCATTTGCTAATCTTTACATCCAAATGAAAGTGGTTTTCAGTTCCCTTGCAAGATGTCTTATTTTTCTCAAGGTATGCTTGTACTTCCAGGGTCCTGGATTGTTTTTTTATGGTTAAAGAATATTCATTAAAATGGAAAAAAAAAGAAGAGTACACAAGGGCTATACGCGCCTTGCAGCCCAAGCACCCCATAGTGACACCTCCTACATTTAGAATAAAAAGAGTAAAAGACACAATGTATAACAACCATTTATCCAACAACAAATGCAAGAAACCTCCACCAAATAATTATATTACCAAAAACACCCACAAAACAAAACAAACTTCATCAAGGACCTCTATATTCACAGCAAGCTTCTATATTCATAATTCATCCCAACTCTTCATTAATGATTTCAGGGAGCAAAGAACTGTCCTCTCCTAGAGAAAGAGAACTCTCGGCACTTTATATAGTTTAAAGTTCAAAAAAAGCTCCTCACAAATTCTTCTCCACCCATTGGACATTGTTTCTTAGACAATGGTTGCACAATTTCTTTTTTATTGATTTTAATAAGCAGGAATGAAATTCATCTTTCCACTAGGGATGTAACCGGTTTAGGGCATACCCAAATCAGCCCCCATAAAAGTTCAATTTAGAAAGAGACTAAAAAAAGAATCTAGAAAATGAAATTGGCCATTGGCCCCATGCTAGTTGTCAATATTCTATATTTAAAGATGGGCCAATTGTGATGGGTCTCATCTATGGGCTTAAGATAAGGTCCATACACTTGTTCATGGGCAAGATGTAGTAGCTCTCCTCCAAGTTTCAGCTTAACAGCAACCTAAGAAATCCAAAAGTCAAACAGTGGTACATTTATACAACTCTTGCCAACACAGTTGACTTGATTTGGAAATGAAAATTAATTATAAGGCCAAAAGCAAACCAACTTTTGATCTAAAGGTAAATGAATAATGACTTATGAAGCTAAATATTGACAAACTTTTTATGTAGAGATGTAGAACAATAATGTGGTCCCCACTGCTGTATGTCTGTTTATGTTGCTTAGTTGGTAGTTGGTAGTTATTTTCTGTTATCTTTTAGCTTATGTAAGCAGTATGGGTAATTCTGGTTTTTACCCTGTTTTAAACCATTAATATAAATAGTTGAGTGGGGCGCCAATCTTAGTTATGACCTACACTCTTCTTTGATTGTCTCCTCTTCATATTCTCTCTTTTTTTTTATAGAAAACGGTAACTTTCATTAGATAAAACCAAAAGAAACAACTGTCACCTTGCAAAGTAAAAGGTGACCTCTTCATATTCTCTCTTCTCCTTCCCATCTTCTTCTCTTCTTCTTCTTCTTTTATTCTCAGCTTTCTTTCTTGTTTATTTTACATTAAAACTAGGACTGATTGCAGTCTTACTAGACAAGTTTTTACTTGCTGAAAGAGGGCACCCTACATGAGCTAGATGGATAGTGAAGAAAAAACAAAAGAAGCCATTGAGTATATTGCCCAGAATATCTCATATAATGGCCCGGCCTTTAACACGTGTTACCCACCACATTGAATCAAATCAAGCCTTGGAAAAAGGTTCCATTAGCAGAGCATTAGAAAATATAGATTCTTTTCTAAGATTTAAGGAAAAGAAATCTAAAACATAAAAGAAAATGGACAAAAAAGGATGAGGTTAGAAAAGAATCTTGAACACTAACAGCACAATTTTTATCACACACTATTCCACAATATTTCATTAGGTCATAAAATACTAACTTGATTGAGTACCATTCAACATTATAAACAAAAAAAGCTAAAAGAAATGTTGGAAGCTTCTGAAAAGAAACAAAGAAATATTTTTCATAAAATAGATATGATGTGGTCCAAATAGCCTAGTCAAACACTGAAAACCAGATGAAGTTTGTATCCGCATACTAATTCAGAGAAGAGATTTTTCGCCCTTATGTAAGAGACTTCATACCTGAACAACTCCACTTGGAGTCATGAAGCTGTCTCCCGGTACATCCACCATGCTCCCAGATCCACAATTCTTTTGCCAACTTCCCAACATTTCTTCTAAACGTCAGTCACGTTGGTGATTACAAAACAGAACCACAATGAAGGGGAATGCATCAACATTCAACATCCATAAAAAGGAATTTCTGCCATGTGCATCAAAAGAACTCCACTGCAACAGCAAGTAATTATGCATTTGATTATCATACACTAATAAAAAGCTAATGATACAAAAGAAGTTCATTGATAAATGAAATATAAGAATTCAAACTGATCATAGACAAGCAAATGATAAGCAACTCATTAATGACATCCGATATTAATATATCCTTCTATTTTCCAGCTTAAATCGTTTCCATGTGGAAAGAGCTTGTTCTTCTCTCCAACAATGCAACACACCCAAAACCAAAAGGGGAAAAGGACAGCTCTACTCTCATTACACATACTTGAAGGTTTTCTTTCAGTAAACCATTACACCTACATTCATTTACAGAACTACCTGGCAAGGGCTGTAAAGTTATAGTAAACACAAAAGAAATCATGGAAGGAGGTGATAACTTCCAAGTGTGGAAAGGCAACCTTCAACCAAGAGCCACTGCCACTTCATACATCAAGACTCTTTCTCTTCTTTTTTCTTTTGAAGGGAAATGAAAAATATCAAAAGAACAAAGAAAACATTACGTGATAAGCAAACCTGACAAGTTCCATCCCAAAGTCAACATCCCCAGGTAGCCCACTTTTTTTTATGGATACCCAGGTATCCAGGTATCCCACTTACAAACTGAAACCAAGACACTTCAACCAAATTAACTTACACCACTACCCAACCATAACATTTCACAGAAAAACATGTATTCCAACTAAGCCCCTGGCGTTTCCTTCAACCCCAAAGCACACCAAAAGACATCCACACAGACTTTGAACAAGTGAACAGTGCAGCCCTACAGCCCTACTTTGAAGATTTAGTTGCTTGATTGATGTCTTCTTTACTTCTTTTAGTTCAACTCTTGGAATTTTTCACCACTTTGTTGGGACCCACCCCAAACAAGCCCCCTTTCAGCTTGGCAAACACCTTCGAAACCAGAACCTGGTTCCAACACTTTTGACTAATAAAACATCTAACTGAGTTGGGAACTTTCTCCACTTCCTTAATGAATATAAGAGAGGATTCCAGCTCTTTCCAATTTTGTGGGTTAGACATTGTTCCAGAAATTAGAATCTGTAGTATTGCCTTAAATTTCTGGAATAAGATATTTGTCCCTGGAATTTTTGGCAAGTTAATTAAAATACAGCTTACCATTCAGTGCTCCATCTCTTCCTCTTTCTCCCCCCCTCTAGCAGTCTAGCTGCTATGCTCCTAATCTCTCTTTCTCTCTCATCCATGGAGAATAGAATAAGGTCTTAGCCCGTTTTCTGCCCCCCAATTTGTATGGAATAACAGAGAAGAAAAGTTGTTCTTTCTTCTTTTCTCCCAGAAATAGCATTAGAAATTAAAACAGGGGCTCCTCGCCAAGTTTTGCTTGCTTGCTGAAGTTTTATACCTCTAGAAAACTAATGCTCTTTTATGTTTGATTTGTTGGTATTATTCATGTAAAATTTTGTACTTCTTGGACCTTTTCTGCAAATAGTAATATAACATTGTAACACCTAAAAAGAGGATTTTAAGGAATACAATATTAGTATATTACCATACATTCAAAAGGCACCAGCTATAGTTGTTTTCCCAATTTTTCAAGACAAAGGTAGGACATTTTTCTGAGAGGTTGTTTACATTTTTTGTATCATTCAACACCTATTTCATGCATATAACTGTTGCTTGCTCTAAAGTCTCCACCCATGCACAAACCACATGCAACAGTTCACATCTAAGGGGACAGTAACCGTGGCATCCAATTCCAACAGTTGCATGCATCTGATGACAAATTGACAATAACACATCATGAAATATACGAGATTAGTGATGATAATGATTATCAATGTAATTATCAGTTTATATACATACATCATTGCAGCCGTCATTTTCATCATCAGCAAGAATAACATTTCGGCAGCTATTATAGGTAATATCAGATATCCACCATCTTTTGCTTTTTTGGGTGGGAAGGGCTAGAGCAGACAGTTGTCAAACGCAAGTCCGGGCTCCAAAACCAGGTCTGAAAATACCATGGCAACGCTGGAACATAAGCATCCCACTGTCCAAGGTGGGATTGTGCATGATGAGCCCTGCCATGTAGATCCCACTTCAACGTAGGCTATGTATGTTATGGTTACATCTGCATAGCTTAAGTGCTACCAATTTAGGAACACCACATACTTCACCAAATAAACAAGCAGGGCAAAATTCAATTTAAGACCACACACTATGGTCATTCTCACCATCATCGCCATGACTATTACTCTATGTACCAAAACTGCACCCATTACAAAGGAAACATCTGAACACACGCATGCTACAACACCAGATAAATCTAAAAAACTAAATAATTACGAGGATGCATAAATACAATCCGAAGTAAAGAAGGAAACGAACACTCAGAATCTAATCACAACAATGTAAACACAAAGACAAATTAAATTCCACGTGCTATAAGTTGCGCAAATCGGGTTGCCGGATTTTAAAATTGTTAATTAAATGAGGCTCAGACTGAAGTCCGGGCCCCTTCAAAATTGGAATGCCCAACACGACGACCAAGTTGCACTCCAAGAAAGCAAGTACTGCAAACTGAAAATTCTCCATTAATTCAAGCAACGAACTGAAATTATGCAACCACAATATTATGGTGCAATCATCCAAGTTTACATAAAGTGAGTATCCAGGATGAAGAGCCTCAAGAATCGTAAATGAAAATCGGAAAGAAGAAGAAGAAGAAACAAACAACAATAGTATATTAAAAAAATAAAAAAGGGTAACAAACAGACTCGACTCAATAATCAAAGAAGCAAAACGAGGTCAAAGAAACGGTGTTGCATGCTGAAACGCTTACTCCAAAGAGAATATCAGCTCGAAGAAATTAGAGTAAAAAAGAAGAAATCTTACCTCATCTTGTCAACGAGATCTCGAGCGAATGTTCGAAACGGAAGACCAAAATCCTCAAGTGAAAGCAAGCGAGAGAGACAGCGAATGCGAGTGAAAGAGAAACTGGACGAGAAAGAGAGAGAAAAAGAGAGGGAAAATAAAAAAGCAAGGAGGGAAGCTAATGTGCTTTACCTTTTCCAGAGACGGACTCCAAATATTTTTTCCAAAATCGAATTAAAATCCTTCCTTCGAGTCCGTCGCGACGACACGCGTCAAGTGAAAGAACGGTTGTTGTCCTTCCGGTCCACGGTCGTGACTACGTTAGTCCTTATCCCTGACGTTTGAAACGGTGCCGTTAACGTGGTGAAGAAGAAATGCGGCGCTCGGTTTAAGAATCTTAATTAAGAACTTAATCATGTATTAATCAAACCTTAAACCACGCTGATGTGACTAAACGAATCTCCTTTTCTTAGCGTTGTTTGGTAGTGGACTAAAGTCGTTGGTCGCGTGTGGCTTACCTGCTCCTAAGCAGCATGGATTAGTCTAATGCTTCTCACTATTAGCTTTCTGATTTGGGCCCATCTGATGGCCAGACCACGTGAATTGGTTATGGTCCAAAAAGAAATATTGGGATCTAATCAATCTCAAAGGAACAAGGGTGCGGCCCATCAGATGGCCCTGACTTTTTACTCTAATGAGCTTTTTGGTGGGCCCATCAACTTTTAGTCAATGGGTTATGGAGAATTTGATGTTATCAGTCATACATAGTATATATTATTTGGGTGGTAAATTTTATTTTGTTATTGTGATGGATTATTTTATGTTATATAAGTAATGGAGTTAATTTTAGAGATTATTAAGAATTATAATCATGGTCTTTTCATTCTCGCATCTTCTTGGGTAATTTGGAAATGGATTTGTCCTAATGGCTCCATTTGGAAGAGCACAAGTGCAATTATGTAATGTGCAAAATCTTGTATTTTATATTATTTTATTTATATTTATACTGTATAAATTTGCATTTGTACTTTTTTTAAATTGAGTCAATAAGGCAACAGTTGGAAAAAAAAAGAACTGGGCCCACCTTAAATATCCATGGCTCTTTTTTTTCTTTAAGGGGATTTGTTATAAAATTTTTAACTTTCCCTCAACTTTTGGTTTTTCTCCTATTTTTCCGATAAAACGAATATATCTACATACATGACTTCAAGCACCTAAATATGTGAGTTAATTTGGTTGATTAGTAAAAAATATCATTGAAAGCAATGTTTTTGAACCATCGTTGACCCGGACGGTCAGCCCGTTTGGCCCAAAAACCATCCAGACAATTAGTTCCATATTACCCCAAACCCAGTCCCTATCAAAAATCTATTGAATCGGTCAATAACCCATTTGACCTGGGTGGTCGAATCATCAATCCGTTTAACAGTTTTTTTGCCAATTCTTTATTTTTTGTCACAACGGGTCATCTATTCAAATCAGATAATCAAACCGATGGCCAAAACGGTCCCAATCCTTAGTCAGTATTTTAAACATTAATTAAAAGTTCTGCAAACTTCTCAAGTTTTTTTTTTTTTGGAAATTTGATGATAGGTTTACATTTCAAATAAATGTGCCCACCAAAACAGAATGTCAAAATGTAAAGATCAGATAACAATTACATGAAATGTCAGCCTGCACCTATATATGAATCATTCATTATCCAATATGGTATGACTCCCAATCGAAGTATGGTCTTTGACAACATGGTTGGTTTTGCTATTGAAAACAAAAGCAACTGCCATGTTGTCGAACAAGTATGGTCTTATAAAGGAATGATAACAAGCAACACTGTATTCATGAACAATACATGAAAGTTGTTTTTTTGTTTTCCAAAGTAAAAAATAACTGTGTTGTCCAATACTATCTAAAGTTGATTTGGTTTGAAAAAAAAAAAAACAGTAGAAAAAAATGATAAGAATAGTAGGAAAAACCCATACGAAATTCTTTACCTTTTCTTTCCTTTCTTTTCCCTATCTTTTTTTTTTCTTTCAAACCAAACACAGCCTAAATTCCCACTCTTCTCTTCTAAAATAAAATAAACAGTGCTACAGAGGAACAATTTCAAGTAGCACTGTATTCATGATGCTTTTTTTTTTCTATTTTTAATCTTATCATCCTATCTAAAATAACACGCATGAATGTGATATTTGTTGTGTCCGTTGATCTATAAAAGTATCAAGGTCCCTCTTGTTTGCATTGCCAATAGGTCAAATTTATGATAATTTTGGTAATTATACAGATAGCTGATGTTTTTGTAGCAGACACAAATCCATTATGCGCATGGATCTCATAGTCAAATCAGTTAATGAGCTTCCCTAAATATTCCACAACTTTTCAACATGCCAAATTAGGTTGTGTTTGGCATTATTATATTTTTCTACTTCAAATGTTTTGAGTTTGATAAATACAAATTTGCAAAAAATATTTTTTTTTCCACCTCAAACATTTTGGTTTGATCAACACACACGGTTGTTTCTAGTTGAAAGGTCAGAGATCAAATCATCCCCCCACAAGATTGTCCCCACAATGTCACACAGCACATCTCCATTGTGTATTGGGAACATCTCCCAATAATAATATTATAAATACACGGCAGGGATGTGGTATGGGACGTTGTGGGAGGCAATCTTGTGAACGGCTGATTTGAACTCGAAATGTCTATGATCAAATCCATTCATTCATTTTTTATGGTCAAAATGGCTTTCATATGTAATGTGACAACATATGTTTTTATGAATTTGTGTTGATTAACTTAAAATGTTTAAAGTATAAATAGTAATGATACCAAACACAATTTTGGTTTGGGGTTCAAAATAGGTCCCTATTATTCTTATTATCACCCAAATTTCAAGGAAAAGATTTTGACCCAAAAATCAATTTTCACATGCCCAAATAAAACATGTTTAAGGGCAACTTTTACATTATATTGTAGTAGTTAAGAGGCACATGCAAATGTACATGTAAGAGGAGAGGGATGAAGAGAAAGTGATGAATAAAGTGCAAATAAAGAAAAATAAATGGATTAGATTTTTTTTTCATTTGGTGGTCTGAACATGAAACCAATACAATCAGCCTTATGATAAGGATACGTTTGGAATACCATAATTGATTACGCCAAAGGACTACTTAATAAAGGTTGGAGGGGCTGGACTGAAGACTTGCTATTTTCGTCTTTTAGTAGATAAATAATTAAATAATAAATTATTTAAAGACATTAAACCCAACTTCAACCATTAAAAAACACACAACCTCCCTATTAATTCCCTCACTAAAAAACAATGTTTTAAAAATTGACTCAGAGCCCGAACCGTTTTTGCATTCGGGTCATGGGTCACTGGTTCAATCGGCTGGATCGAACGGTCCAGACCATGCCACATCATCATACACACACACACACACACACACATATATATATATATATATATATATATATATATATATATATATATGTGTGTGTGTGTATATATGTATATGTGTATAAATATATATTTTATCAATAAATAATATATAAATATATTTTAGATACGTTATATGTATTTTTATATTTAATTTATATTTTTAACTCAGTTTTTATTTATAAAAATATTAAAAATTATAATTTGAGGCCAAAAAAGTTTTTTTTTGCAAAAATAGTGGGGTAAGGCACATATTGCACCTTGGGATACATAGATCTCGAAAAATTACTCAAAATAAAAAATCACCCCAATCGGATATTAGAGTGCAACGTTATGGCATTTGAAAGTTTGCATGCATTGAATGTGCAACCTTTAACTATAACATATCAACAATTGAACCGGCTGAGTCGAATGGTTCTTGGTAAAGTCAACGTTTTTTTAATATCTGACGGATCTTGATTGAACCATACCCAAAATCTTGACCGGATGACGGTTCAAACGATTTGACTGGCCGAATCAATGACTGGTTGAAAAACACTACTGAAAAACAAAACAATAAGTCATTCAATTTAATCATTTCATCTCTGTCACGATTCACGGAACAGCTCCTAAATCCATTACAAGATTAGGGTATTGGGTTTGGATTTATATATACTAGAGGAATGAATCCACGTGGCCAATTCAATGGGCCCCTGTGTGATGGGTAGTCCAGACCAGCCACATGCTTCCCTCTACGTGATAGAAGAGGGTGGATTTATAGTGAAGCCCTTTAATTTTCTTGGCCCATTTAGATATATTGTCGTGTTTATTAATTAAATTAAATATTTAAAAGATAAGATGTAAGCCAAAACGAAAAAAGAAAAATCAGACTTAGAAGCCGGTTGCCATATTATAATTGAAATAAGGTGCAATTGTTTTTTTAGTTAATTTTTGTTTGGACAAATTTTAAGTACACCCCTACTGTTTGACCATTGTCTAATGTTATCCCTAGCTACTGTTTTGAAAAATACTATTTCCGTTAAAATTTTGATAGAATGGCTGAAATGTTTATTTTATCCTTAAAATATTAATTAAAGAGAAAAATGATAAAACATTATTTAAATCTTAGTCATGGTTAGCCATTGATAGCAGTGAAGATCTGAGTCTTCAATTGCCGTCTTTTCATCATGCTTCTAGAAGCAATCAACGCAAGTCAGTCATCTGTTCTTTTTTTTTCCCACCTTTCCCTGTTTTTTCCTTCAAACCAAACATAGTCTTATGGGATTAATGGGGAGAAGAAGAACATGGTGGTCACACAGTTTCAACTGCAGATGCAAGGCGTACTTTGCAACATTTCTTCAAATTCAGCTCCCTCAACCCCTTGCAGTTCCCTACCATCTCCTTCTCCCCCATCGCTGTCACTTCCAGACAATTTTCCAAAGTCCAAGCACAGTAATCTGCGAAAATTCTAGCTGACCATCGACAACCCTTCATCGTTGATCCCCAATCCAATGGCTCATAGAGACTCCAATTTGGAGAATTTCATGGTCTTATGAGAATCTTATGGTCTTAGGGTTAGGTTAGACAATAATCAAACAGTAAAGATATACTTAATCAATTAGCTAAATTATAAGGGTAATTTAAAAAACTTATCCCCTTTTATACAATGAAAGCAATTAATATTGCAATTTACTTGCACAATTGTTTTAAACTAGGGCAATCATAGGTGGGTAAAGAATGTACCTCGGGCTGTATTT